GAGAGAGAGAGAGAGAGAGAGAGAGAGAGAGAGAGAGAGAAATGATGGATGATGGACTTTTTATTTAATTTTTTATTAAATTTACATGTTGCTCACCTTGAGAGGGGGGAGGGGGAGGGGGAGGGAGGGAAGGGGAGGGAGAAAGGGAGGTGAGAGAGGGGGAGGAGAGAGGGAGAGATGGATGAGAGAGATAAATAATAGAGAGGTTCTGGATGGATTTTTTATTTAAATTTTTTATTAAATTTACATGTTGCTCACGGAGGGAGGGAGGGGGCTCCATATGTTTGTGTGTGTGTGTGTAAAAGAGACAGAGACAGAGAGACAAGGGAGAGGGAGATTGCAATTCCAGGTTGAATCAGAATCAGAATAGAGATGGAAGGCACCTTGGAGGTCTTCTAGTCCAGCTCAAGCAGAAGAAACTATACCCGTGATGGCGGCAAACCTATGCATTGACTTTAAAATCCAACAAGTCAACTTTATTTATTTTATGTATTTATTTATTTGATTTGTCAATTGCTTACAAGGTAACAGGTATAAGTATAAACATAGTTATGGATACATGAAATGGATACATATAAGAAAAATATAAAGAAACAATAGGACAGGGACGGTAGGCACGTTGGGGCGCTTATGCACGCCCCCTACAGACCTCTTAGGAAAGGGGTGAGGTCGATAGTAGACAGTCTAAGGTTAAAGTTTTTGGGGTTTGGGGAAGAAACTACAGAGTCGGGTAGAGTATTCCAGACATTGACCACTCTGTTGCTTAGGACACAAGCTATTATTCACCTTGCTAGTTATAACCTGGGAATATTATGATTATGATTATGGCTATGGCTATTATTATGATTAGGATTATGATCGATTATGACTATGACTATGACTATGATTACGGCTACAGCTACGATTATGACTATGAGTATTATGATTATGATTGATTATGATGATGACGATGACTATGACGATTATATTTGTATATTTTATTATTATTATTATTATTATTATTATTATTATTATTATTATTATT